GCTCTGTAGCCCTGATCGAGTGATCACAATTGCAATGCTTTCCAGGCTTGAATGCAAATATTAAAGAAATGCATACTTTTTATATAGATTAATTATAAGTTTCTTTAATTTTTGCAAAAGGTGAGCTTATCCTTTAACCTAGCCATATACTTCAAAAATCAAGCAGTGTGTTGCCCCCCATCAGCACCCCTGAGTTCAACAAAAGGCAGACAAAGACAGTGACTGTGCAGGTATTCTGACAAAAAGACACCCGCCGCTGTCAGAATACAATAGCCTGGCTATAACATATTAGAAGCACTGATAACATGCAAGGACTGCACAGAGAAAGATAAGGATCCATGTGGGGACCACTACACTATTAAACAGTCCAAATGAAATGAAACAGTTTTGCAGGGATAGTTGCATAAAGAGTAATGAAAGGGCCTGCAATACTTAGCTTTTCTGGAAACATTTGCTCCAAGCTCCCTTCAGTGTGACTAGAAGCCAAGGCCTTTGGTCACATGATCATTTCTAAAAGGTGAAGGACCATCCTGATGAAACTGTCTTTCAGATCACACAATCTAATGGCCAGGCTTTTGGGTATAAGTGGAGCGTTGGAGGCAACTTGGAGCACCATTTTTTCTCAGAAGAGGCAAGTTTTTTTAGTCTTTCTGTTCTTAATAAATGAACCCATCACGATGATTAAAGTATCTGTATATTTATTTTTATTTGATCTACTTTTTAGTGTATAATGAATGCCCCCACATGAAAAGAGTTCATTCATTCAAGTTGTTTAATACAAATGTTCACATTCACATGTATCAACCAGAGACAGTCCAGAAAATCATAATAGAACCTCATATTTGTTCGACCGATGCGCTGTTCTTTTTAATATAAACAAGCGGCCCAGTTCAAAGTTAGAGAGCGAGGTTCTTGCAGACAAGGTCAGAACGTTGCCAGGGAAATGTGACCGGCCCCCTTTCGTTTAAAGTAAACTGAGAGGAAATTAGGAGTAAAATATGGTTGTTCTTCTGTCCTTGACAAGCCCCTGGGCCTTGCCATCGTCCATCACTAGCGCTGGAGATTTAGGGTTGAGGGAGGAACATTTGCAGAGACAATATTTTTGGAAGCAGCTAATGGAGCCTCTGCCTTTCTCTGCCTGTCTCCAGTTCTGGAGCTGCCAGTTGATGAAGGATTAACCCCTTCCTGGGCCCGTAAAGTCTTGCAGACCTTTCAACAAAAAAGATTAGAAATGAATCTGCTCTTACACAGTGACACTTGATACTTGCAGATTGCCAAACCAGGAGTCATTATCAAGAGTTTGTTTATTTTTTTTACCTTTTCTTTTTAGCTTTCAAAATCTGCTGTAGTACTTGAGAGCCAGTACAGATGGGGTCCAAAAGGGGTGTTTAGTGGACCACTCTTACCTTCTTCTTGACCACTCTTACCTTCTTCCTGACCGCTCTTACCTTCTTGGCTGCTCTTACCTTTTTGGCCGCTCTTACCTTCTTCTTGAAAGTAAATGTTCACTGGCTCAATACACACAAGCGTTTTTTGGCTCAATATACACGAGCAGCGTGTTTGTCACGTTGTGTGGTCTGTTCAGCTTCAAAAAGTGGCGTTTCAGTGTTTGGCAGACATTGATGCCATATCCCCAGTTCATGTCAATGGACCCCTTGCACAGGACAGTGCAGGAATACACAAGATCTGACTATAATTATGTTGATGAGTTTGTGTATATAAAGGGTTACTGGTATGTCCGCTTATTAATTAATTATGCATTGTCAATTGGTTGTTTTCAGTAAATAACCAACGTCCTACTTGTTCCCACACAAAAAAAAGTTTGGCCTGCAAAGCAATTTGATTTAATACATTAAAGTACTACTAAAGACGGGGCACTTTTTTACCTTAATGCATTCTCTGCAAATGTAAAAAAAATAAAGGTTTAATATCACTTTGAATACTGTACTTAGACAGCAAAATATCTGGTTACTTGGATGAGGTGCCTTGTGCCTGTCAGCCCTTAAAACCCTATTACAGTAACTATAGTATTGTATAACACAGCCCCAGCAACACTCCCAATGAGCTGCCACCTATGTACAACATAAAACAAAGATCAGTGGCACACAATGGATTATCCTAAAATGTTACTAGCTATGTATGATTTTTCAGTAGGCTGTGGGTGGATTTATAACAGTCTGTGCATTCTGCACTGCTATGACCTATTGCTGCAGATGACCAAATTGCTGATGTTCTCCCTACTGCCCAGTCCAAAGTTCTGATCATCTCATTCAGGAAAATGTGACACCATAAGCATTTTCTATATCATTGTCCATCCAGCATCCAAGCTTGGATAGGTCCAGGCCAGATCCAGATTTCTGTAGATGGGTTTGGTCATCTCAGAAAAAATAGTAATTTCAAGACCTCATGTATAAAAGAAGAAGAAAGGAAAGTATAAAAATTGGCAATCATAACCAGATTCAAGGAACCACAATTCTGCTGCTATGAGAGAGGTCATACTTGCTGATGTATTTGAGCATCGGTTGCATTAAAGTTGCATTAACACCCCAGTATTAAAGTGTTACAACCCCAGTCAGATGGTTATTGCTGTGTCTGTCCCTGCTGGGGAGAGGATCTCTTTTTATTTGTCCTTGTGCCCCTGGGGCAGAAAGTGATAGCAAAATCCAATTTCTTTCTTCTTCATTGAGGGACACAGAATTCTGAGACAATTAGGTTATACTGCCGCACACAAGAGGATTTGGACAATAGGAAACAAAAAACAGTGACTAACCTGGTATAACCCCTTCCAATCCCAGCATGCCTCAGTTTTTTGATAGTGTCCTAAGAGGATGAATGTGTTTTCTCTAGTGAGAAAAGTTTAGCCATTTATACTGACTATTTTTCCTTTTTTCAAAATTCATCAACATTCTGCATGAGCTGGTCTCTTTATGCAGCTTTTCAGATTAGCGTGTCCTCAGCATTAGCTTTAGAAGCCGTACCTGGACCCTGCTGGATGATAGAGGAGCCTGTCTGGAATGTGACCTTGGAGCACTGGGTTCCTCATTGTAGTGCTGTGTGTACTGTGTTGGTTAGTCGCGGAGCACTTCTCAGGCCTATAGCCATGGCACAGCCTCTGGTGTGAACCTTTGTGGGCCAACCATCGGGAGCTACATTGTTTATTTGGGGTGCCATTATTATCCTTATTTCCTGTTGGTTCACCACCACTGAGGAACTGAATTCTGTGTTACTAGGTGGAGCGTCACATGTTCCCGCCATTCAATGTGAAGCAGCAACTTCCCACCACTGTTCCTTATTGCAAAACCATTTCACCTCAGTTAGCCATTGCTATGGACTTGAGAGACAGCGGTCTTTCTGAATCAGAGATTCCTACAATGCTAAAAGCTAAGAAGCCCACTTCCTGCAAGGTCTATCATGGACATAGAAGTCATAATTCACGTGGCGTAAGGAAAAATGCTTACATTGTCACTCCGTGGACTTTAAATTTTGTTCTCTTGGCTCTTAAAAAAACAGCTATTTGAATTAATCAGGCATATTCCCCTTTCCACTTTTAAGCTGACCATACACTCCTACACACTCAGCCAAATTTCTACTGACTGGGCTGAAATTCAAGCTGTAGGTGGCCCTGCTGACACCACCACGCTCAACATGGATGAAGGAATCTGTTTCAGCCAGCTGTGTGCGTGTATGGCCAGCTTTACATTAGAGTGATTTTCCCTCACTTCCTGTCCCAGAGAGAAAGTGAGGGAAAATCTGCAACCGGGGCACAGACAGAAATGCAAATCTAACAGGGGTTCTAGACTTCCCCCTACTTTACAAAAAAAAACAACAAAGTTCTGCATTTGTTGCCGTTGGATTGTTCTTCTCACTTCCTGTTTGCTAAAACATTGCCAGAAAGAAGGTCCCCACTGTATCCAAAACTAAGGAAAAAAGTTTTTGACTCGACTTATATTTTAGCTACTCTATCCAAAATGGAAAAAAAGGTTTGGCTTCACATGCACTTTAATGTCTTATAGAGCTCCCAGCCAGAATTCCCAGACCAAATCCTGCAGCATTCTCCATACTGTAACATAAATAAGAAGGAACAAAAAATGGAGAGCGAGATCCTCTTGTAATGGCTGCAACAAGTCCTTCTTTGCTGTTTTAATTTGCCTATTACAAAAAAAGTGCCTCCATACAGTTAACAGATTAACGTCACACCATTCTTCATTGCTATAAAGTTACACAGTGTTGCCATAGCAAAATCACAAGGAAAAATGAGGTGTGATGGTGTTGCACGGCCGAGGCTGTATTTTTTCTCTTTTTCCACCATTTTTCTTTCCAGTTTCTCATTGTGAAGTGACACATTCTCATGAACAAGTCCGCTAAATCAGAGTTAACCATGTTGTAATGCGGCTTTCCATGCATTCGCTATGATTTGTTGCTTGCTTTAGGGTTACGCGGTTGTTTTAGATCAGTAAAGTATGTTATATATTAAAGGAGATGTAAACCCGTACTGGATAACATTTAGTTTTCTCTGTGTGTCAATAGCAATTAACAATAACAAGTAACAATTGTCATGTGTTTTTATCTATTAAATACTGTTTTCCTATTTTTGTCATTATTTTCACATCTCAGTAATGCACATCTCCTTTTAGCTACTTCCTGTCTTCATGAACTCGCTCCAGCATTGATTACGCATCATTGCTCTGGACCATCAGTGGGCCATAGCTAGGCAATGTGTGTGTTGGCATGCCTGGTTTTAGCTTCCACCAGGGATGCGTGTGTCAGGGTGACAAGGCAGGAGCCCGGTTAGTAGACAGTTGTCATTACATAACAAGCATAGCAGGGTCACTAGGTATTATTTCAATGAAAGCTATAGATTTAAAAAGATTAAAAATTACTTTTGGAAATAACATAACCAGGTTAAAGCTTATATGTGATTGGGTTTAAATGTACATTAAACAAACAGGGCCTTACAGGAAGAAACTCAGTTGCTTATTAAGCTCTCTCTTTTCCTGCAGTCTTCCTCTCGACGCGCTGGACTCTGCTGTACAAATTGCCACACGACCACCACAACCTTGTGGAGGCGAAACTCGGAAGGAGAACCAGTATGCAACGCCTGTGGCCTTTACATGAAACTTCACGGGGTAAGAGTGTGGGCCACAAGTGGGCTCTAAAGGTTGTTTTACAACCTTTAGTTCAAAGATTACATTTTAAATGTATTTCCTTAAAAAACAAATCCGTATTTCTTTCCCATTTTTTTAAACAACGTCCAGTGCTTTCTAGAAGATCATCTTGACCTTAAGGGTAGCAATTATGTTTCTTCTCATTGTTGATTGGGCTTCTACTGGAGTGCATTGCTCCCTTCAAAACATTCTTACATCCAGTTACAGAGCTTCCACATTATTGTGGAAAAAACACAACCTAACACCAATCACCTCTTCTTACAATCAGTGTAGAAGCCACACTTGCTTTATATACATATCTATTATGGAAAGATAAATATGTAATTTTAATCTGTACTCTGCCAAACTTCTGTTGATAGTTCAGTCACTTTAAGAGGAAACGTTGCCAATTGTCACATGCTTCTTTCAGTAAGTGTTTCAAGGTTGGTACAAAATGACTGTAGTCAGCCGTTTGGATAACTTACCTTTTCCCATATCTTTCATATATCCTACCAACATTCCATGTTTTCAAGTTTCCTTACAAATGTGGAAGGGGAGTAGTTTAGAATGCTGGAGTTTTGGACCTGGCAGTCCAGTGCAGATGTTTTTAGCAAATGCCATTGGCAACAAGAACAAGTTTAAAAAATTGTTCCCATGTGCCTGGATCCCTTAGCCTAACCTAACACTTCAGTTGAGCCTAACACAAAATACCTACAGGGTTATTCACAAAAGGGTGAAGAGTTTGGAGAAGGCAGGAGAAGGTTACAATCTAGGACAACATAGATGAACTATAGCTGAGCCTAACCTAACACTTCAGTTGTGCCTAACACAAAATGCCTACAGGGTTATTCACAAAAGGGTGAAGAGTTTGGAGAAGGCAGGAGAAGTGAACAACCTAGGACAACATAGCTGATCTGGAAAGTGAGCTGAATTGGAGAATTTTTCCAAAACAGCAATTTTGTCCTAGATTGTTCACTTCTCCGGCCTTCTCCAAACTCTTCACCCTTTAGTGAATAACCCTGTTAGTCTGAAACCTAACTTTCTCATACCTATTTAGAGGGTGAGATGACAAGAGGGCTTTCCATTCACCTCTAGTCCAGACACAGGTAGTGAGAGGGCACAGAGTGGCACGCCGGCCAGGAGTCCGATGTACAGAAGCTAACTTCTACTGGAAGACTTTACTGCAAAGTGATCATGCAAACTGAAGGAGAAGGAAGGTTTCTAAGGAGAAGCAGTCTGAAAGGCAGCTGGCAGAAATACTGGAGCACACAGCAAGCTGAGGGTGTAGTCTGAAACAGGCGGTAGTCGGTAGCTGAGAAGACAGAAGGTAGGGTTGTGGTCAGCAGGCAGGCCGAGGTCATACTGGGAGCCAGCAGAGATAAGCCGTGGTCAGGAACTAGCCCAGGTGACACCAATCAAAAGCAGAGATAAGCTGTGGTCAGGAACTTGAATTTGGCATCTGTGCCTATTCGCTTGTGCCCCCTTGCCTGCATGAATCAGTGTGCTCGTGCAAATGTGCATGCACATGTAAGTGGCTTGCAACGCTCCTTGTCATAAGAGCTTCAGCAGGTGATCTAGCTAACTGCAGTATTTGAACAAAATTGGACCTGTTTGCGGGGTTTGAGGACAAGTTTGGGAAAAAGTGAACACTTTAGGGAGAGACAGTTAAATATGAAGACAAAGAAAAAAAAAGTATTTGGTCATTTTTTCTATATTGGCAATATAATTCACAAAGTCCCTTTGCTTTAATCACAATCCACTAAATAGTGAAACAGTAAATTTAGTGTTACCCTAAACCACTGCAGAAATGTCATAAAAAATGTAATTTTGTTTTAGGTTGCTCGTCCTCTAGCCATGAAGAAAGAAATCATACAGACACGAAAGAGGAAGCCCAAAAGCTTAAAAGGAAAGACTTCCACAGGTAACCAAATACATCCAGGCTATAGAATGAATTCTCAATACTAAATTGGTCTTCAACTCAAAACCACAAAATATTGTTTGTCTATTCCTCTACTTTTATGTGTATTTTATTTAAATTCTTCAAATTGTTCTCCTGATGCACTTTTTCTACAGTATTGTGTGTATGGCATGTTTTAGCTTTTGATGCTCCATCTCTTATTACAACCCGGTATGTGTTTCCAGGGTCATCAGCTTCAGCTAACACCTCACCATCTTCAGTTACAACAGACACCACACCGGTATTAAAAACAGAACATGCTCTGTCTGTACAGTACACAGGGCAGGGGATGGGAGCTTCTTCCCAGGTAAGATACCCCAAAATAATAGTAGGTAGCTTTATTTTTTCCCATTAATAATTTTATTTTTTAACCTGTACAGAAAATTACTTCTGGAATCTGATTGCTAGGAACAGCATAAACACCCTTCACTTCCCCCAGTTTTAGAACAGTCTTGTAATATTTGTATTATTATTATTAATATTTAATTGTTCTAGTACATGAGAGCAGCGTCATTGTGCATAATATATTATAAAATCATAGCTAGTATATGCCAGAAAAATTAACAAGTAATGCAAGTAATGTTTGCTGTTGTGTAAATAAATATGCATAACTAAAAAGGACACACAAACCTAATGTGTAACAATGAAAGTTTACATTTTTTGTTTGATTATGTTAAATAGAAGGCAGCATATCTAATAAGTAAAAAAAAACCTGTCATAGGAAAATGTAAAAAAATAAATAAAAGGCATGATGGTACCCACCCATAGCAGTACCCAAATAATAATGTTTCAGTATGGAATTACACATGATGCGGCGGTGTCCCTTGCACCTCCTGTCCAGCAATCCCTGGAGTTGAGACAAGATAAGCAGGAGCTTTGAGAAGCAGGAGTGCCTGTAGCTGGCTCAGATGCAGCAGGGTCAGAGACAAGCCAAAGGTCAAACACAGCCAGGCAGCGCAGGTACACAGGGAGTAAGCCAGGAACAAAGTTGTAAAGCAAGCCAAGGCCAAGCACAGCCGGGCAGAGAAGGTACAAAACAGCAACCAGGAAGCATAGTCAGCATACAAAGCCGGAGCCAGGAGATTGAGATATTGCAGAGTCAAAACAAGCCAGGTCGAATTACAGGAGAAGCGCACAGGTCAGGTCACAGGAAGCAGAAGCTTAGCTATGTGCACACGCAGATCCACGTGCATTATTGCATGCACAATTTTCCTGACACCAACTCTGAACTTCTATCATAAGCAAACTCCTTTTCTTACCTCTGGTTAATCTGCTCTGCTAGCGTTATAGCACCAATGGTCTCACATATTATTATTTTTTTTTATTTATAGGGTCATAGCCAAACAGATGATCTTGTACCTGGGTCCCATGAGCTAAAATTTATTTCAGATGAATATCCCTTCAGTCAAACTGGCTTGAGCCAACAGTCGGGACTTAATGTTCCCCTCCGTCAGGACTCATGGTGTGCACTAGCTCTTGCTTAAATTAAAACTGCTTTGGAGCAGTGAGACAGTTGTGTCTGAACTAGGCCTGTGCCAACGGGGCTTTTCTCAGCAAAATACTATAAAGCGAAACAAGATGGGAACTTCGGGGTTACAATCAATGGCTGCGGGTCTGGAAACCTCAGAAAGAACAGGCGCTGCTGGTATGAAATCTGGTGTTCCCAATATCCTACACCTCAGGAGGAGAAGACCACTTTCCCCCGAAGGAGAACGTAGCGTCTTGTATGAGATCCAGAAGGTGATGGGACATGGTCAGGACAATCACAGATAACAGAAAATTATTCGCAATTTGCCTTTTTTGGAAGCCTTAAATTGTCACGGCTACAGGGGAATCTTCTTAACCAAATTCCTTGATGTCTTCGACAATCAAAAGCAAAAAAAAACAAACCAAATTTCGGTTCTCGAAACTGGAGATTATCAATGACAGAAGCACAACTTCAGCCCTCAGGACGATAAAATAAAAGGAAGGTGTTTCTAACCGTTTGAAAAGACATTTTGCCAAGTACTGATGACTTCCCTTTTCATACCTTAAGTGCAATTGGTTTCACTTTCCAATAAAGAGTGAAAATGTGGTGCAGAGATAAAATTATTTTATCTAACAATTGGCACAAAGTCGTGTGCACTTTTATTCCTGTAAATTACAATTTGTTTTTCTCTTCAGTCCAGGTTTATTGTAATAATTGATGATTTATAAAATGTCGGTCTAAGGCAAAGCTCAGAATGTGTAGTAGTTTTCTTGTTTAAAAGTTTTGGTTAATCCCTGAGGGGGAATGCCATCCAGCACTTAAACCGTGGAATTCTTTCTTTGGGTTTGGTATTTCGAAGTCCTCAATAGAGCCTTTCGTCGTGTTGCATGTGCCGGGTAGGTTGCTGGTTGGCTTGTTGTACCAAAAATCATTGAAAATGTGAATCTTTCACAAGAACTTCTGCCTAAAAGGATGTAAGAGAATGGAGAAATTCTGATGACGCTGGCCTTAGCTGGTGCATGAGTGTGCCTTCCATTCAAAATGGTTTTGCCCGACATCATAATGACTAAAGAGGTTTTGCAGGACAGGTCAGAAAGAGGTTGTCATGTGGAGTGCAAACCTTGATCAAAACAATGTGCTTGGTATAAGTTTGAGTGTGTGATTAGATTAAAAAAAAAAACACTGCCTTTCTTTTAAATCTCATTTTGGTTCTCTGATTTCTTAATTTTTCTCTTCTCTTTAAAAGGAGATTGGATGAGGCCTGATGGTTGCCCTATTAGGCACCACCAAGGACAGTTTTGTTGCTGCTTCTGCTCAATGACCAGGCATTTGATAGTGGTAGTGCTGGCCGTAGCTGAGACATCAGTGCCAAATTGAAGTGTACAGTGTCGCCTCCTCTAAAATCTTCAGTGCTCCTTAGCAGATGGAGGATTACCCCTAAAGTAGACCTCTTTGAAGATTGCTTTTAGGCGCCTCATTACATTTTTACATTAGGCTCCGAGACTGCGAAGAGGAGTTACTGCAGGCTCTTGGACTGATTTATATTACAGTTAGTTTGTTGTTTGGAACCCACGGGAAAAAGGATGTTGTCTGAGAAAAGCTTCTCCAGCTCCAAGCATTTATTTGATTTTTTTGCCTCCAGACAACTCTTGATTCGGAAAAATAACTCTACATACAACATCTAAGCATGATCTAATGTGATGTGACACAAAGCATCATATATATGTGTATTTTTTTTTGCTTCTTGACAGCTGTGCGCTGCGAATGTGTCTCTTGACCGTCTGCACATTTGTATCATGACCTGTCATCCCCCCACGATTTCTCCTGCAGATAAAAGTCGCCTCCACACTTTCACTAAACGGCTCAGTAAAAGAGACCTTCAAAAGGGCGACTACAGCTTCTTATCCGTTTTTATTAACTGTGGAAGAGAGAAAGCAATGCCCTTCCAATCTCAGCCTCTGTCTGACCTCTGCACCAGTGAAATAGCTGGTTCTGTTTTCTGGGGATGTAATGCACATGGAAAGGTGGATTTCACTTAGAATTTATATGCCTGCTCTCGGCTCCACGGGATAAATCAAACTGAATTAAGGTTACTAGTCACATGAAATAAATTGCGTTTTTTTTCTTTCCTCCTTTTTGGCTCCACAGCAGTCTTGCTCTGAACACATTTTTTTTCCCCCTGAAGGTCGCTATGAAATATGGTGTCACCATATTTTTACAATGACATTGTTTTTTCTTGTATGATTGTGGTTTGTGTTAAGGGTTATAGTGTGAATCCATGTTTACATTTTTACATTACATGTTTACATGTTTACATTAGGTTTCACCAAATAATCGCTTCCCATATGGCCTGTGCCTTTTCCCATATCCCTGACAGATTTCCACACTTGCCTCCTTCTGCCTGCAAAGATCCTCACTTTCCTTTGGAAGTCTGCCCTTGGTTTTCTGAATAAACTGCAGACAAGTAATTCCACCAGTGCCCATACTGCTCCTTCTTTTTGAGTGTTGTGTGGCTTGCAAGCTTTTACTTTAAACAAAACAAAAATAAATAAACAAATATATATATATATATATACACACACACACACAACCTGTTTCACCCAAAAATAAGACCTACCCCAAAAGTAAGACCTAGTACTATTTTTCAAGATTCCTGTAATATAAGACCTACCCTGAAAATAAGACCTAGTTTGGTGATAGCAGGTGAGGGGGAAGAGCAGGAGAGATGGTATCAGCCTGCAGGGACATACTGTATTAAGGGGATGACAGGGGACTCCCTCCGGCCAGTGCAGTGACTGAGAGCACTCCAGTACCATAGTTCACCAACTGCTGTCCCCCTGAAGACACTGCTTAATCTGCTTAATGTAATGGTACGGTACTGTAATGTGTACCGGTAAATGGTACTGTACTTTATCGTGCTGTCCACTGTCTGATATCCCCACTGCTGCACTCCTGGTACCGCTGTCCCTGATGGCAAAGGAAGCCGGCACTGTAGAAAGAAAGGCTGCGGCGGCGGAGGGAGCAGAACCGCATTAGCAAATACTTCATATAGATAGATAGATAGATAGATAGATAGATAGATAGATAGATAGATTTTTTTTAGGGAGGAAATAGAAGTGGCTTGCCTTGATTTGCTTGTACATTTGTAGAGACACACACACAGGATACTTGCACACACAAGGGTGGCTCCATAGGACCCTGCAAGGGAAAGGAACAACCCCAAAACAGGATATCAGGACCAGTGATCAGAAGACCAGCTCATTCTGCAGGAAGCTAAAACTTTTGAACATGAAGGAGCAACATCCATTGTAAGTGATTTCATCTGAGGTATGGCCATTTCTACCAGGAAGTTTCTTGGTCAAAGAGTGTATGGGACAAATACAGTGAGGGGAATTTATCAAAACTGGAGCAGCCAAAATCTTGAGCCGTTGCAATCAGATTTTCTCTTCAGTTTGTTCAGTTAAGATTTGAAATTAAAAGAGAGAAGCTGATTGGTTGCCATGCACAGCTGCTCCAGATTTTGTCTGCTCCAGTTTAGATAAATTCCCCCATTTATGGTGGTGCCAGACAGATGCTTTCACAGAAACATCACTCTATTCTGTATTGGCAAAAACCTGCTATGTCAGCATAGCCTAATGCAGAAGATGGGAGCCTTCAAGACAGTGGAGGTCCTGAGGATGGTTAGGTTGGGCCTCTCTCTCTCTGGTGGCCAATCTGGGAGACTGCAGACAAATTTGCACGCTTTGTAGAATAAACACGCATAAAAAAGATTGCTCGGCAGCCATATTTATATTCTATCAAATTACACCATGACGGGAGTGGGGAAGGGGGAGAGATTAGGATTTTATCAGCCACAGATAAGTTTTATATTCAAGGCTCTTGCAGTTAAGATCTCTGCCTAACCTACAGCCAGCAGCCACTGCAGCTCCAAGTCTTGTTTGTGCTACTGTGTGCTGCGCGCCCTATCTCCCCAGTCATTATACAGCTGTTTTTTTACGAGTACGATTGTAGCTGCACAAAGGTCACCTCCCCTAGCGACATTATAGGGATCTTAAAGACAGCACGTCAGCTTTTTTTTATTTCTGCTCCGCAAGAAAACTGCTTGTCTTGGAATTAGGCGATGCCTTTGGCCTGGGAAGACGGGTCTACAGTTCAGTGGGCGGGCTCTCTGCACCCTATTGATGAGGACATGAAAGGGCTGCTTCTTGTACTAACTGATATGTCTCAGTTTGCTAGCTCTGAGCTCAGTATTTGCAGAGAAGTGAACTTTACACTTTAGCTGTCAGGTACAGGGGAGGTCACCAGGTGAACTGGAGGAGAGTACTTAACCCTGTCAAATCCACAGAGGTTAAATACAGGTCCACAGTAGTAAACAGTCCCGGCCTGATTTAAAGTAAATCCGAGAGGACAAAAATCTGGGAGCTGCCGTCACTGACTTGTTTTTAAAGCTTGCGTGGTCTGGAGCTTCTGTTACAATCGCAGCTTCAGGACAGGCATGTAGGATGTGAGCTTAGATTTTTACTGGCTACATTCAGCCATTAGATATTGGTGTAAAGGCATGAGCGTCGTGCACCAATAAATAGGGTTGCAACCAGTCCAGGATTCACCCGGACAGTCCGGGTTTTGAATGCTGTCTTCGGGTTTCATGGCAGCAGAAACCCGTACACAAGGGGGGTGATTTACGAACCTAAACACACGCACGCACCAGGTGTGTGTGATTTTTACACAGCAAAACGTATTTATCAACCAAAAAGTCTCTAAAAGAATATTTCCACTAATGCCATATATGGAAAAATCATGCACATGATGCATATATAATGCTGCTTCACAGTTTAGACAAAAATGGTTAGCTCATGCATTTACATTCCTGCATTCATCAACGCAAGCAACACAACATAGAGCTAATTTACACCACATTACCTTGCAATTCATTGCAGGGCTTTGCACAACACACCTGCTGGGTGTGTACACACTACAAAGGTGTTTTGATTCCTCCCATAGATCATGCTGGGAGGGAACACACTACAGAGGTGTACACACGTTCGTGGTGTGTTTAAAAGGTTAGTAAATCAACCCCAAGATGTCAGACAGACAGGGGCAACCAAAATTAAGATAGGGGCTACTGGTCCCCCCACTGAAAATAGTCTCAACTGTTATATTTACATATGAATGGGCGGCGCTATTTACATATGAATAAGCCGCGACTCATTCTCCCAAAAAAATGTGCGCACGTCGCTAGAGTGTTCGGGTTTCGCTCAAAGAAAAGACGGCAACCCTACCAATAAATCATCCCCTTAATTGTAACTATTATGTGTTTTTCGCTAAAGCATAGAGCTCACATGATTCTTCAAAGTGTGCAATAATCAAATGGAAACTAATTACCTCCTCCTGTATATCTTTCTTTTTTGGTAAAAGTCAAAAATTTTAGGC